AAATAAATAAATAAATAAATAAATAAATAAAAAAGAAAGAGAATGAGAACAGAGAGAGATAAGTGAAGTCACTGCTGCAAAGTATCATGTAATGTCTCCACATAGCCCTCCAAACATGAAGAAAAGAAATATAATGACATGTCAACTCCATAATCTTGCTACTATCTGTAAAAAAAAATAAACAAATCAATCAATTAAGGAAAGAAGGATAATGGCACATGTAAGATATTTACAATGGCAATTTTGTGGTGGTAGAATACAGAGTGGTTTTCAAAATCCTTTTTTGTGTGTATGTTTTCTTACATTGTTTGAATGTATTTCAGTCCACAAGATATACATCAGTAACACATGGTGTTTTTTTTTCAATGAAAGCAAATATTTAAAGATGTTAACTCTTTTTCAGATAAAGAAAAGCACACAAAATATTTATTGCTGCATGTCCATGCCTTCTCCACAATATTGAGGCCTGAATTAGGTAGGCAGTTGAAGTCTTTCTAAAAGTGAGTCAGATGTAAGCATCCTACAGCTTCCACACGAGGCCAAATAAGCAGGAATCCCTTAACTCTAAGAGCCATGGTGGGGAAGAGTGTTGGTTGGGCTACCATGTGTATTTTCTCTGTTCTATAAGTTGCATCCACATGAATAGGCTTCTGTTTTAAATCCTGGATATTAAGAACATATTTTAATTAGTTCTACAAGTTAGGAATAGCTGAAAGCTCTATATTTGCATTTACAAATTTGTACCTAGTCTTGAACCATTTCTGACTATACTGTCACCACTGTAATCTAAACTGCTTTTCTAAAAGTGATATTCCAGGATCCTCCTATAAGAATGCAAAGCACATTTTCCATGCCACACCTTTGTTTTCCTTGTTTCTTTCATCAAGAATGTCCTCACTCTACACTCTACTTCCCAACTAGTGAAATTCACCATACTTTCCAGGTTGAGCCCATGACTCCATTTCCTTCTAGACGACACAACTACAAAGGAATGTCTCCCTCTCTGAATATTGAAGTGATGCATTCCCTATTGTCTGTGGTGGCATTCACAGGTTCTTAGCTGCATTGGTATTTGATTCTGCATTATGATTGAACATTTACCCGTTTTCTCTTGGTTTTCTCTACTAGACTGTGTTCTCCCCCAGGGCAAACATTTTCTGCATGTGGAGGAGCCATTCCTGGGCTGGGGCTAATCCCAGCAGAGACTGATCCATTTTAAAGATTTCAAGTCCCTGGAGCTCCAGGTGACTGGCACTGGCTCAGAAAAATGGAGCAGGTTCATTGGCTGATACTTAAAAGACCTGAGGCTCAACTATATGCATCTAATTGGCCCATAAATCTTAACATCAAGACAAAGCTTTTGTCTCTTTATAGACTGAAACCCTCTCTTGGAGCTGAATGTATCCTTTTATGAATTATTTGATCTAACTTCCACAGTATAAACCTATAATGTAGTATTTAGTAGCACTGACTTTGGAGTTAGACTCCTTGGGCGTAAATTTCAGTAGTATCACTCTTTCAACACAATTTATTTGCCATTTCTGTTTCTTACACGCCTCCTTTATAGAATAAGGAAAATCGTACTTACGGAGTTGATGACTGCTGTACTAAAGGTACTCATGACAAGCTATGCATGTGCAAAATACAAGGTTACTAACTCACCTAGAGTTAAAGAAGCCCTAAATAATAAAAAAAAAGAGCAATGCTTAAATTATTATTAGTAGTATTGATTATTGAGTTAATATTAACTTTAAAGTACTTAGCACATTATGAATGCAGTGTTAAATATTATTTTTATTACTATTGATATTGCTATTTCCCCAGTGCTAGGAAGGACTAGAGATGGGGAGAGATATTAATGGCTAATTTGTGCAGGACTTGCACCACTTTATTGCCAAGTCTGGATTCCAGAGCCCCACATGACCCTCTGTGTCCACAGTGCTGACACAATATTATGTAGAAAGTAGGAATAAAATGCACTTATTGTTTAAATTTATTATGGCCCAAAGCAATAATTACCAAGTACATTACATAGGTTTGGAACACTAAGAGTCCACTTACACACACATACACCCACCCACCCACAAACACTTTGGACTTCATCAAAATCTGGAGATATGCTTTCCTATAGAGCTTATGTTAATTAGATTTTCATAGACATCTTGCCATGAGAAGAAAATAAAAATTGTCAACAGACTTGCCTTATCAAAACTCATGAATTTCTGCAAACACATATTTTCACAGTTGATGGACGCATTTGACTGAATATCTTGACTTTTTGACTTATATGAAACAGCTCATTAAATGTTTTGGTATTAAAAGCATGTCATTCTTATACTTTATTATTTTTCTTCTGCAACTTTGAGGTGGTACACTGAGGAATTGACAAAACTTGTGTTCAGACTTGAGTCTCATGACCTGAATTTCAATGTTCTGTCCTTAAAGTGATCTGAGTTTTGTGTGGAGAAATTAATATTCCAGAAAATACTTGTATTCCAACATAACACCTATTGTACTAGATGAGTGCATGACAGATTATTAAAGTGCAGAATCAAGGACTATGTTGGGGTGTGGGAATAAATGCAGTGGATCTTGTTTTGCTCACAGAAAAGTTGATGCTATCATTGTCCTTAGTGATTAGGGGGAGTCTGATGGGTAGATATTGGCAGGTGGGATGAGGGTGGGATGGTCAGTGGGAAGGGGACATTTTAGGCAAAGGAATAGAACGTTTCAAGGCTTGGAAGCATGAAAAAACAAGGCATAATGAAGGAAAGCAGGCCAGAGAGCATTTTATATGTGGAAGGAACATTTTGGTGATTAAATTTCAAAGGATGGCATCACCGTGACCAGACCATAATAGACCCCATATAACATTTTAAGGAGTTTGAATTTTGTCCTATAGAGCAAAGTGAAAGATTATAAGGAAAAATAAAACTAACTTAATTAGCTCATGCTGTAGAAAGAGTATTCTGCCTGCAGTGAATGAATTCTGGAAGGCATTCGTGAAGTCTAACCTGTACATCAGGAGCTATTCAAATAATTCAGGAAAGTGATGATGGGTGTGTGAATTAGGGCAGGAGTAAAGGGGCTGGAGAGGAGTGGCAAATTTGTCAGGGCCTTGGGACATGACACTCATGGTACTTCAAAACTGGTGATTGAGCTGTGAGGTGGAGGCCATAGGCCCACTCCACACTCAGGTGCATGTCTTGAAGGAAGAATAGATTTTGAAGTAAGTTGCTGAGTTTGAGAGTAAAACATATTTGGTTCAAGATGCATATCCAGGCAGAACTCTTAAGTAAGCCATTGGATACTTTCATTGGGTGAAAAGTCTGGGTATGAAATAGTGATTTGGAAGTCTCTGTGGAGAATACAGATTTTTTAGGTGAACAGGTTGTGGTTCAAATCGTTAGGATGGGTAGGTTGTTAAGGGGGGGTGGAGTGTAAAAGCAAGAAGACAGATGATGAACTTTGGAAAATACAAATACTGAATGATGGGCAAGAGGAAGAAGATACAGGAATAGGATATTTTATATTACCAAAATAAATCATCATCAAGAAGTAACTTTATAATACTTTAGGCCAGAAGTTTACATAATTTGATGCTGAATATAAATAAAGTACTGTAATAATCTGTGTGCAGTCTTAATGACATACTGGATACATATTGTGAAATGCCAATTATTTAAAGCAGCTTTTGAAAGGAGGCCGCTTTCTAGCAGTGCACAATACCATAATAAAATACATTTTAGGAATCATCTTCTATAAACAGTATCCCTGGTAATCATTAAGATGTCATCTTTATTATGCCAAGGCCAAATCCAATGTTAGGGATTAATATAGTTGGCATTTCTGTTTCTTCTCGTCTTATGTAACCTGTATTTTTGACAGCCATTTAGCTTACATTATAATAGTATAATGTACCATGACAATGTATGTGTCATGACAGTATTGCACTCAGTGAAAAAGCTGTTGCATCTATGGACTTGAAAACATAAATCATGAAAGCTTTGTTGCAAAAATTTATTATTTAATCAGTTTGGAAGTTGAGTGATATTTTAATTGCCTCTTTGTTTACCATTCTGATCATGATTTACACTTTACTGCTATCCAGAGTCTATGTTAACTAGTAAAAACAAACCGTATTTGAGAGTTCACTCTTAAATCTAAGATCAAATGATTTTTTAGATTATTTATTTAAAAACAATTCTACAGGCCATGCTCACAATTTATAATTGCTTAGGCGCAAGTCAGTGTAAAACAATAGTGCTACATTTAAAACATGTTGTTTAGAATGAATTCGCTCATTAAAAGGTCACAGAACCTCATCAAGCTTCTCATATAACTGCATGGCTTAAAATTTAACCTAGCAGTTTCATGGTGTGAAATCTTTTTTGACATGTTTCTCAAAAAGATAAAAAGAAAACTTGCAGAAAATTTCACTTGGGTAGGATATTAACTAATAAGATTCAATCAAAGATATTTGAAATTTCTTCAAGTCAAGATAAAATTAAAGATAAAAAGATAAAAATTAAAGGTAAAATTAAAGTTAAAAGATAAAAAAGCTATTTTAAGTAAAAGATAAACTTTTATTCTAGCACTAGTAGTTGGTTAAACTGCCTAAGTATGACCAAGAAAAAGAGAGAGAGAAAAAAGATGCCTCATACATATCTAGAAAGCAATAAACTCATTAAAAGTTGCTTACAAAATCTTCATAGATTTTCCAAGCTTTAACAAAATTCCAAGGTATTACTTGACTAGGCCAGATGATTGAAAAGGTTATTTAGATAGAACTATCTCATGACTTACACATAACACACATGATATATATTATTTTTATTCTGTTAGAAAGTCAAGACATAAAATGATTGGCAGGAGTTCCTTATCAGAACAGAATCTCTTAGAACTAGAAATGAATGCCTTTTTCCACACACGAACTCTTTGGCTGCATAAAAGTATCCATGGAAACCCTTACCTGTTAGTTCTAATATGCATATACAAGGTTATTTTCTTTTCCATTTTATTTCAACAAAAACGTGAATGGAATAGAAAGCACTGAACTACTAGAAACTTCCAAGGCCTTACATAACAGTTTTTGACAAAAAGCTCATTATATTTTTATAGTTTCTATTTGGCACAAGACCAAATGACTTTACAGAATATGTTCATCAATATATGTAACAAGGATTATTAAATGTCCTATTATGCTTATGGATACAAATTTATGTTTTTATTATTCAGGAGCCACAGTTGGTGTACATTCAATTTAAATGATATTTTATCATTTTTCAGTCAAATAAAATATATGTAGTGAAAAAGTACCTCCTAAAACTTCCTAAAAGCTAGCTTGCATCTGGATAAGGTGTGGAATTGAAGGAAGAAGCTAAAGAGAGTTGATGATTGCAGAATAGCCAAGAGCATGGTATTTATTTTAAAAAGTTTTTAATTGGATAGTTCACAGAATGAAAGAACTATGGAAACAAATGAAGTGTACCCAGATGCGAACAAGAAAAGGATATTTATTCAGAGCTAGCATAGTAAGGAAGTCAACCGCCATTATTTATGTTTGGCAGAGACTCAAAGGCAGGCAGAGGAGTAGGAAAGCTTTAGAATGGAAAAAAGGGAAGACTTCGGGTCTGCTTGATTGAAGGCTATTGGTATGGAGGAGTCGGAAGCCCGATAACGGAAAGAAAAGTATCCTATGAGGTTAATTAGGCAGCATATTTGTCTCTCTTCAGTTGGTCCAAAGTTGGAAGTAGAGGAAGGCAGCTAAAAATTGTGAAAGTTGTCCATTATTGATCAGGTACTGACCGTCTTGGGCTAATTGCCGTGGAGGCTGTGGTCTTGCTCTGGTTATTGCAGTTTGTGGGTTAGAATTCTATTTCTATGTGTGGTGTGACTGTGTATTCAGTCTCTCAGAACTAAAGGCTAGTGATATCGTCCATTAACTAGAAAAGCTGAGCTCTGAGGCAGACATTAAAGAAAAGTAAAGAAAGTGGACTAGGTATTTAAAAAATGAGTAATAAGAGAATGGCAGCAGCAAGAGAAAATTTTTAAAAATGGAAATAAATGTGTGAACCACAGTTTGGGAATAAAGGTGGAGACGGGGCAGAAAAAAACAGAAGCAAGCAGGCTAATGGTCTTTTTGTATCTCTCTTTGAAAGGAGAGAGATCAAGAAATAAGATTCAATAAAAGATACTCGAAATTCCCATATGCAATACTGAATTTATCATAGCAGGCTCATACATTTTTCACTGAGTTAAGAAATATTCAATTAAATGGAAATATCAAACACATAGGATAGTCAATTTACTGAAATATGAAAGCCCTTCAATATTTCAGTTGATATCTTTTAACATTGTGAGCCAGTGTTTGTGTAGCAGGGCTCTTCTTTCAAAACTAGATTAAATTATATGTTTCTCAGGTTGGCCCTGGAGATCAAAATGTCTTTATTCAAGGGCATGCAGGCAAAAGAACAAGCACATTTATCATGGAACATTCAATAGTCCTTTACTGTCTGATGCATCAGATCTTCTGTCCAAACTTCCCACGGATTGCTCGAGTCCTGCGGATCTGGATCATTCTGTGTTCCCAAGCCCATCTGTGTTCTGTTGGCAGCTGAGAGATTGCATACTGTAATCTCTCTCTCTCTGATGTATGTCTTCTAAGAAACCCAAACAGAGAGAGTAACACAAGTTTATTAATTTTACTTTTACATATGAAAAGTTGCAATGTTACAAGTGATTCTGGAGTTGTGGGAAATTAAACATGCACAAGAAGGTCCTCAAATCAAAGGCCAGGATGTGGTCCCTAGTTCTTAGCTCCAGTGTGACTCCAACAACCTCCAGTAGAGATAAAGGCAGCATCTCACCGTAATTATTCAGTTCTACTCTCCACCAAGAGGAGAATAAAATAATTCTTTTTCTTGTTTTTTTTTTTTTTTTTTCATTTTAAAAGCATTCTTTCACTTTTAAAAGCACTTTTGAGGTAATCCTGGATCTGCTTTATAAATGTCATGAATCATATAGGCAGTAAAACAATGGAGAGGGGGAATTAGCAATAAGATTATGCTGTTTGGTTAATTTCATAATGTAATATTCTTCCCCTTAATTTACTCAATATTGGTAATTAGTAATGTGATTTTTAACTTATCTCATAAAATATGGTCTTGGATTTCAGGACAATCCTTGGTATGAGGGAACATTTTTCGTTTGTGTCCTCTTCCTTTGTAGGGGTACTCAAGACTTTGAATGCATAGGCTCAGTCCTGCTGTGCACTTTCTACACAAATCCTGACCAAGCCTGCGAATATGGACAAATATTTATTCAGACCAATAGGTAGAGTTTGGCATTGACCTGGCACCCAGAGTGCCCAAAGTAGTTGCTGTTCTATATATTCACCAACCACCTGTCTTCATCCCAAACTTTACCTTATGATCAGATTTCTATTGATTTCTTTTTTTGTCATATATGCTAAACCCCAACAATTTTAGCTCAGCTTCTCTTTGTCATGTACTTTATTGCAGGAGATAGGGGAAGACTCTGTTGTTCAAACCTGTAGCCACTGGATCACATCATGTTCAGACAGAGCTCACTGAAACCATAATGCAGGCCCTTCCTTGAGAAAGGGCTACTGATCTACCTCTCTGAGCAACTTTGATCTCATGGCTCATAAGGCCAAACTGAATTGAATGGGCAAGTGATTTTCAAACCAGTTACAGATATTACATAACAGCTTCTCGTGCACATGGGAGATGGAGTCTCACTCTGTCGCCAGGCTGGAGCACAGTGGCGTGATCTCGTCTCACTGAAACCTCCGACTACCTGGTTCAAGAAATTCTCCTGCCTCAGCCTCCTGAGTAGCTGGGATTACAGGCATGCACCACCACGCTCAGCTAATTTTTGTATTTTTAGTGCAGATGGGGTTTCACCATGTTGGCCAGGATGGTCTCCATCTCCTGACCTCGTGATCTGCCCACCTTGGCCTCCCAAAGTGCTGGAATTACAGGCGTGAGCCACCGTGCCCAGCCAACATTTTTGCTTTTTGAAAGACACTGATGGGAATGAAAAAAGTCTACAGATTAAGAGAAAATAATTGCAAATTATATATTTGATAAGAGATTCATATCCAGAATACTTAAAACACTGTCAAAATTCACTGCTAAGAAAACAGGCAACCCCATAACAATTTGGGCAAACAATTTGAACATATACTTCCAAAAATAAAAGATATGCATAATATATTAGCACATAAAAATATGTTCAAATTTTTTTCATCAAAGACATGTAAAATTGAAACCACAATGATATACCACTAGACATTACAGTAGTGCTTAAAGTGAAAAAGGCTTATAATAAGCATTAACAAGGATGTGGAGAGACTGAAACTTTTACAATTCTGACAGGTAATGTAAAATGGTAGAACCACTTCCAGCAACAGTTTGTTGGTATCTTAAAAAGTTAAACATGTAGCTATTATATGTTCTAGCCACTCCACTCCTATACATTTACCTAAGATAAATGAAAATATATGTCTATTCAAAGACTTATACATACATATTCATATCAACTATATTTGGAAACAACTCCAATTTTTATCAACCGGTAAATGGATAGAAAATTCTGGGATATCCATGCAATATTTTTTATTCAACAATAATAACTAATGAGTTGGCCAGCATGGTGTCTCATGTCTGTAATCCCAGCATTTTGGGAGGCTGAGGCAGGCGGATCACTTGAGGTCAGGAGTTCGAGACTAGCCTGGTCAAAATGGTAAAACCCTGTCTTTACCAAAAATAAAAAAAAAAATAGCCAGGTGTGGTGTTGCATGCCTGTAATCCTGGCTACTCAGGAGGCTGAGGCAGGAGAATCACTTGAACCTGGGAAGTGGTGGTTGCAGTGAGCCGAGATCGTGCCACTGCACTCCAGCCTGGGTGACAGAGTGAGACTGTCTCAAAACAAACAAACAAAAACCAAAAAAACTTATTAGTTATTGATACCCATACAACATAGATGAGTTTCAAAAATAACTAAGCAGTGTAAAATAAGTCAGACAATAAAAAGAGAACATATAGTTTGATTTCATTCATATAAAATTCTAGAAAATACAAACTAACCTATGGGGCAAAAAGCACACCAGTGGTGAGAGTTGATGAAGGGAGAGATGACAAAGAGAGATTGTAAAGGGAAATGAGGTAAGTTTGGATGTGATGGGTATGCTTATTTCCTGCTCATAGTTTTCTGGGTGTACACATCTGTCCAAATTTATTAAATTACACATTTTCAATATATGCCATTTATTTTATGTCAATTGAACCTCAATATAGTTGTAAGGGAAAACAGCAACATGGTGGTCTTTGAATTCCTCACCTTTAAAATAAGAAAGACAAACTACAATTATTGCTGAGGACCAAAATTCTGTGATTCTGTAAACAAGAAGGCTAAAGATGAGGCCCAAAAGGTAGGAGATTGTACATACAGTGTTGTTAATGTCTTGTTGAAACTGCAGAATAAGAGCATGTATTACTGGGTAATGAGAGTATTTCCCCTAAAATAAAATGGATTCTAGTTTGTGGCTCTTTGGCCTAGGGATGGGGAAAATCTTCCTCCTTCTAGTCCTAATGGGGGTGGCCAGCCATTCTTAGCTACATGGAGATAGGCTGGAAGGGAACAGCAAAACAGGCCTGCAAGTTCTCAGTGACAATGACATTGACCATAGCTGCTACAGTCAATGTTATTCACACTGAGAACTTGTGTGGAGATATGTCAAGATCCTGAGATATGTGATAATCAGGCAGTGGTGAGGAATATCCTAAGTTTCAGGGGTCATGTATGAGTTTTGGATTTTATACCAAGGTAGCAGAATTTCCAGAGAAATCCTTTTGAATAGAGAGGAGCAAAATGGATCTCTTGAGTCTCAGTCACCAAAGGAAGTGGCACGGTAGCAATTCAAGAAGGCCAGCTTGGACCTGGCAGACTACATCCCGAGCACATATGAGAAAGTACTTCTTGAATTGGTGAATCAGCAGAAAAGAAGAATTTGGAAGTATACTTACATTGACAGCATTTCTTTATATATCTCAGGTAAACATATAGTTTAATAGGTTAGGGCCAATAATGCAATGGTTAGAAGAGTGGACACGAATTCCCGGTGCCTTTCTTAACCTTCTTCAGCATACATGCATTACAAAATAATGCAAGGATTTAAAAATCATGCTATACTCCTGACCCGCATACCACTATAACCCTAATTATACTGTTTCTGCTCACTTAGCAACTAGCCTATATCTTACATGTAGCTCATAGTACAAGACAGCTTTCAGTGAAAGATCTTCAGAAATATGATTAAATACCATCTTGATATTTGGGAAATTAACATCAGATTATTGTCTTGAAATATCACCTAAAAATTATTTCATGTCTTATGTACTTTGAACCATACAAAACTGCTGTTTTAATAGGTCAAATATGGTTTCAAATTGGAAATTTCATGATTCAAAATCAAAAGGTAAAGAAGGAAGGAGGAAAAATGTCAGAATGACAAAGAGAAGGAAAAAAAACATAGATGTTATTTCAAGCCATCAATGTGCATTAAAGAGATATTTCTCAAATCTAGACTATTAATATGAACTACAAATACAATAACTTCAGATACATAATTTACAACTGATTAAACTTGTTTCAAGTTATTTTATATTGGTTACCACTATTGTTGAACTTGCTTCCACAGATCACATATTTTGGCAGAGATATCAGTTGCTTTTATTTTATTCCTTTTTTTTCTCCTAGAGCCTTCAGATGAGATATATTATTACTTATGGAGAACAGGAACAAAATAGATGTTTTTCTTTGACATTTTCTATGAAACTGTAAATTGGATTATACTACAGCTATTTCAAGAGGTCATTTTACTTGGTTTTTGAAGAGAGAAAAAGTGATTAATGTTAAGAAACCCTTGATATAGGAATTTAGTGTCCTTGAGCTCCGTATAACTACCTTTTCTAAAGCTGCTAACACACTGCAAGCGATCAATTACTCAATAATGTAAATTTATAAAACACATTGTACACACATACACACACATACACACGTACGTGACCTTCTAGAAGTTGTTCATGTGTTAGAAATTAACAGTTTTTGAAGTCTGTAGGTTACCATGGAAATCTGCTGTTGATGCTCACTCCATTAACGCATTCATTCCTAGAAAATAACAGCTCTGATTCCTTTACCATTGTCATTAATAATACTGTTGTGCTATCAAATACTACATCTTATTTATTCTATCTAACTATATTTTTGTACTCATTAACCATCCCTTTTCCTCCCTACACCCACTTCACTTCCAAGCCTCTGGTAACTACCATTCTACTCTGTATCTCCATGAGTTTAATTATTTTGATTTTTAGTTTCCACAAATAAGTGAGAACATGCAATGTTTGTCTTTCTGTGCCTGGCATATTACACTTCATATAATATCCTCCAGCTTCATCCATATTGTTGCAAATGACAAGATCTCATTCTTTTTTGGCTGAATGGTACGCCATTGTAGATGCATACTGCGTTTCCTTTATGTGTTCATCTGTTGATGGATACTTAGGCTGATTCCCAATCTTTGCTATTGTGAATAGTGCTGCAATAAAAATGGCAGGACACATATCTCTTTGAT